TGTCTCTAGTTACATAAATGATAAATTTCCTTGTTTATTTATTCAAATCAACCTACTCTTATTCAATGTAATAATTTATCAAAAAATACTGATGATTACTGAGAATATACTTTCCTTTTTTTTAGAAAAAACTTGTCTTATATTACTCATCAATTATAAGTAGTAAATGAGGGGGGGAGGGTTTGTGAGCAAATGATCATCATCAGAAGGGGGTTTGTTTTGTGGAGATTTTAGTCATTTTATATAATTGAGATCATGAGTCAATTGAAGTTAGACTACCGTGGAGATTATTTTTTTAAAAATTTTGTTACTATTTAGATTGGGTAATCATCAATTGAATGGTGCCATTACAACATCAACAAAAACAATGAAAAGATACACAACCTACCCTAATGTTACATTCTATCTTTCATTATATGGAATAAACCAACCATTTTGACAAGCCACAAAAATTCATTTTGATTATGTTTAATTCTTTATTCAAGTTTTCAGTTTACCTTTCTTCTTCTTCCTCTTCTTCTTCTTCCTCTTCTTCTTCTTCCTCTTCTTCTTCTTCTTCTTCTTCTTCTTCTTCTTCTTCTTCTCCTTCTTCCTCTTCTTCTTCTTCATCATCGGGGAAAACCTACACTGATGACAATGACGTCGATTAAGTTGATTGATGTCATTGATATTCTGTTACAATTTTATATTTCTTATTATATACTACTGATAAACAACATTTTAGATTAGTAGTAATTGAATAGTTGGATTTCATAAAGAATAAAAAAACAAATGGAGACATATTTATGTTTATTTATATGAAGGAAGAAAAATGTAACAATTTAAAAGAGATGATTTTAACGAAGATGAATTAGTCATTATTGTAATTACATGGTTATTAAGATCAATTAATGAGTTATGTAATGATAATAATAATACAGTATTAAGTGAGGAATTCAGTAATATGATATGATCAAGATGAGTTGTATAACAGTTGAACGTTTCAGTTGTGTGATACGTTTCAAAAATGCTTACCTACTTACGTCTGTCAGCCCTCATGGAGGAGCATATGCTGCCCACCAGCACTCTACATCCAACTCTGTCCTGGACAATCCTTTCCAGTTGCCATTCATCCTTTTGATGTTTACTTTCATTTCCTGGAGTATTGTGTTCTTTGGTCTTCATTTTTTCTCTTTCCCTTCAGGATTCCAAGTTAGGGATTGCCTTGTAATGCAGTTTGGTGATTTCCTCCATGTATGTTCTATTCACTTCCAACGTCTTATCCTAAATTTTTCTTCAGCTGGAAACTGATTTGTTTTCTCCGCCTGTAGCTCTTCTAGAGTTACTGCCGATCCCAAGACAGGGTTAAGGAGGAAGGTTGGGAATAGGGTCGGCAACCCCATCCCGTAGGAAAAACGTCCTGCTTAAAAACGACAACTAGATTAAACAAATTAAACCATTTAGACTCTGCCCTCCGAGTTGAATGAAGAATAATGACGCCTCACAAGGAAAGCCTAGATTCTTCGAAAGTGATGAGTCCGATTTAACCAGAGCAACAATTTCTATAGGTATATGGAACGTCAGGACAATGTGAGAGACCGGGAGAACCAGTCAAATAGCTTTGGAAATGAGGAGATACAACTTGTCAGTACTTGGAATCAGCGAAACCCATTCGATTTAAGATGGAGAATAACTGATCTTCATAAATTAACATTGACGGATTAGTCTTTTGTTTGTTCGTTTTCCGAAAATGTCATCTTCATTGTTGATAACTTATAAATTACAAATCATAGTAGAATTGGCTAAATAAATTAATAGATAAAGTTGAGATCATGAGTCAATTAAAGCTACACCACCATGGAAAACCTGGAAGCACTGGACGGTCGTTTCGTTCTATAATATCCACAAAAACCCCTGCTGACGTTAATGAATATATGCTCACTATTGACTGGCTCCATTAGGTATTTTCTAGAGTTCTAGTGAGAAGTAGTGACCAGTGGAGTTAAACCGGGTCTGTTGTGAGATAGTGACTCACTGAAAACAATGGTGGTTGATTGCTCAACTTCGTGGTTTGGTTGAAGTTAGACATTAATATCGTTAGATGCTGGCTCAATGGTCTAGTGTTTAAGTGTTTGCGCGCGAAACTGTTAGGTCCTGGGTTGGAATTTCTCAAGGCGGGATCGTGGATGCGCACTGCTGAGGGGTCCCACAATAGGACAAAACGGCTATTCAGTGCTTCCAGGTTTTTCATGGCGGTCTAGCTTTAATGAATTCATTATCTCAACTGTTTAGAATGAATATGTTGACTAAATAGATAGAAATAATAGTATAAAGATTAGTTATAAAACATCAACAGTATTTAAAGTGTAATTCATAACCTTTTGTAACCTAAGAAGAAATAATATGGAGAAAGTTATAAATTTAGTAGAAACTGGGTAAATATTCATTTTAAAATGACAAAATGGATGTGCTGATTCCCGCCAATCAGAGATTTATTGATCATAGCAATGATACCCGAAAAGCCGTACGAGCAGTCCAGAGCATTTATCAGTCCTGCTTTCCACCTAACCCAGTCAGTTAAGTTCAGAACACCAATAACAGTCTCTGCAATATGAATCATTATTCTCAAACATACTGGGTTTATATACCAACCAGACAGACTACATCGTATCATAAAATAGAAAATAACGTTTGTACGAGATTTGGCAAAATATGTCTGTGAATAGGGGGAACAGTAATTAATAGACTGGTGATAACTCAAGAATGGTAAACCGTATAATGATAGTCTATAGGTCAAAATAAAGTTCATGATAAGGGGAACATGAATATGAATAGTTAAGTTACTTAGCAATTATACAATAGGAAATATACAAATCGTATTGGTCCATAAACAGTCCTCAAGAGTAAGCATTCATAAATCTCCACGGGATATAACAGTTATTCATTGTACCACTATTACTTTTAACGGATTCATGTGAGTTCTTTTATTCCTTTGCTAGTCGAATAATGAATTGTGTGATCATTTATTATAAATGTAGTTTGTTTCATGTCGTTTGAATGTTGAGTATTGGCTAACGTGATTTTTTTCTAATATTAAGTAACCGAATTCTATCGATCACGTCGTAACCGACATCAGCCTCTTATCGAATAATCTCAATGGTACAGTCTAATACTGAAACTAAGTTGTTAGAGTTCGAATAGAACAGAAAGTAACAATTCCCTTGAAATACTAAGTACGTCTTGTTAATGGGTATTAAATAGGGCAGAACCTAGGTATAGGGTCTCTTGACGAAGACTTTCAAACAATTTATCTAGCTTTCTTTTCATTGTTAATTGAAAATTTTGTATCTCTGTAGTTGATTTTCTGGATCACTTTTTATCACTTACAAACGGAAATGTTTACTTTTACGTTTATTAATCTGGTGAGACTATAATTTATAAATGAACCCATGAGATTTAAGGTAACAGATCTTGGATTTTGGTGCAAAATTCATTTATCCATTTGATCAAATTACACTTGGGCATTATAGCTGATGTCATTTAATGATAAAAACTTTGAACCTAATTCTTAACCAAAACGTACAACTGTTAATTCTTATCTTGTTACCTCATACTCGTTTATAATCCACTAAACAAGTGGAATTTATCAACATCAATGTGGTATCTCACAAAGGTTGTATATAAATTATAGTTTAATCATTATTCTTTAGCTGAAAAATAAAGACAGAAGATGAATTTCAGTTGATCTCTACAAATCAATTAACCAAATATTAATCACAATTTCCTTAATGATTGACTTCAAGATGAATTTTCAACATTTTAGTGAAAGATAATGGTTGGTGGAGGTTAATCATATCGGGAGTCAAATGTTTAATCTAGTTATTAACTGCTCTACGTAGAACATTAATTAAACTTGGAAATAATGACCGGTATCTGTCAACTCATTGACTATATGATCCTCTTAGGAATCAAGCTTGTCGGTTTCGGTCTTAAATGATACTGTGAGTGAGCAATTCTAGTTAGTCATAAATTAGAACAAAACAACTGTCTATCATCCCGTTGTTCTCAAAAATTTTGAATTTAATATTAACTTATCACGATAACTATTTAATAAAGTAGAAGCTATCGACATCAAAAGCTTTATCATAATTTAACATTTTTCATGTTTCTATATTTCGAGAAACTGATAACAATTTTTCGAACTATTTGATCTTCTTCAGAAGGGGTTTTGTGGAGTTAATTGAAACTAGACCACCATAGATCACGTGAAAGCAATGGATGACCGTTTCATCTTACTGTGGGACTCCTCAACAGTGCGCATACACGATCCTACCCGCGGTATTCGAACCCAGGATCTACCAGTCAGACCACTGAGCCGGCATTCAACGGCGCTTATAAATTTATACAGGTGCTTTACCGCCACAAACAGTCTGATGTTATGTGTTACATACAACGTATGACATGCTGGGAATATCAGCAATCTCACGCCATCGTTCACGTAACTCGACCATTTCGCCGTGACAGGACTAGAAGATTAGGTTATAAGGTCAAACATGGTTATGTTATCTATCATATTCGAATTCAACGGGGTGGCAGAAATCGTCAATTTCCAAAGGGTGCAACATATAGTAAACCTGCTGGTGAAGGTATTAACCAGACAGGTATCTACCTCAGTAAAATAGAAGATGGTTGCGCAATTTCGTGAATTGGTTAAGATTAAACATTAACACCGTTGAATGCCGGCTCAGTGGTCTATCGGTTAAGTTCTCTGGCACAAGCCTGGTAGGTCCTGGGTTCGGATCTCGTGAGGCGGGATCGTGGATGCGCACTGCTGAAAAGTCCCACAATAAGATGAAACGGCCATCCAGTGCTTTCAATTACTGTAGGCTTCAAGATAAAAGACGAATATTTTGGTATGAAATTTATTATTATTATTATTATTATTAACCAATTAATTTATCTGGAACCATAGTTTCGTCAATTCTTCATCAAATGCATAAATCAATGTAGATTGATTATTTTCATACTAAAATATCATTATAATATGGTCGTTGTTCATATAAATAATGACGTTTAATCTCTGGTGTAAATGTGAATGGATATTCTGACCATCTGATAGCTCTTTTAAAATCAGTCCAACGTTTTGATTGATAATCAATTGGATTAGCCTAAATGATGATGATAAGAAGAAGAAGAACAACAACAACAACAACAACAACAACAAAAAAGAATGTTACAAAATAATATTGATGAATCTGTTTTTTTTAAAAAAAAGGACGAAATCATCATCAGAAGAAGGGAACTAACTACTTAACACTTCATTTTACTAATTATGAGTTGGAGAATGCTGATTGGCGGTCTATGCTTCATTGGGAGTAACTGGCGTAAGTAAGTAAGGTAAATTGTACTAATTATATTGAACTTGGTACCTTTAAGATGATTAGAGTTTATATGCAAAATCATGTAATGAATTCAACTAAATGATAAGCTAATTCAGTATAACTATACCACATGCATGTATTTACAGATCATCTTAAGGTTGAATCAAAGTGTTATGTCCCGATAACAATAATGAATAGTAACTTTGGAATCCATTTATGGACCAGTATTATACATATATTCTTTTTATCTTATAATCGCTAAGTAACTGAACTATTCATATTCATGTTCCCCTTATCACGAGCTTTATTTCGATTTATGAACTATTATTATACGATTTACCATTCTTAAATTATCCCTAGTCTATTGATTACTGTTCCCTCTATTCACAGCCACATTTGGCTAAATCTTGCACAAATGTTATTTTCTATTTTATGGTACGATGTGTTCTGTTTGATTGGTATATAAACTCAGTATGTTTGAACTATAATGATTCATATTGCAGAGGCTGTTATTAGTGTTGCGGACTTAACTGACTGGGTTAGGCGGAAAGCAGGACCGATAAGTACTCTAGAATGTTTGGAGGAGTTTTATGCGTCATTGGTCCGATGGATAAATCACCTCTCTCTACCTGATGGTATTATCATGTTATACATTAACAAGGCACATAGACTACAAGATATAACAATTACATGATTTATAGACGATCTTTGAGCGATGTTAAAATAGCCTTGTGAATGTCCACCTACTTATTAGAGAGCTAAATGAGGATTATGAAGAAGTTTGAAGAATAAGGATTATGATTTATAACTGATGATTAGGATTAGCAATTACGTTTATGGTTTTCATCACGAACTGATATCAGCTAAAATGCCAAAGTGCTATTTAGCCAAATGGATGAATGAATTCCATGCCAAAATCCAAAACCTCTTACCTTAAATTTGATTGATTCATCCATATATTTTAGTTTTGCTGTATTATCTCTTAAACTGTATTCTGAACTTGATAAGAACATACAAGAACATTATGTTTAAATGAAATCATTTTCAGGGGTCATTCCTTGTCTCAACAACTAATGCCAAGTTTATTGTTTTTTTGGTATGTTATTGAATAACATTTTGTTTTTTATAATTATTATCAGAGGATACAAGTTTTATAAGCAAAGATGGATAATTGCTAGCAGTGAAAACCAGTTTGATGCACGTTTTATCTTATTTGGGACTCGTTAGCTGGATGTACCTGCATCTCAGAGTTGATGTTCACTCTGGGACTCAAACCCAGTATCGTTCACTTCAAACAGCAAGTGAATATTATCAGAAGGGATTTTGTCGAGATTTTAGTAATTTTAACAATTAAGATCATGAGTCAATTGAAGCTAGACCACCATGAAAAACCTGGAAGCACTGAAGGCCGTTTCATCTTATTTTCGGACTCCTCAGCAGTGCGCATCGACGATTATGAAATTATGTGAGGTTAAAATTTATATTTTTTTTAATATCAAAATTATAAATTCAATATTTTTTTATTCAGTAAAATGACAGTTAAACTGTAATAAACTGAATGATAAACTGACTAGTGACAAGATGCAAGTTTACTTGAATGTATAATGTCGGGGTGGTTCTTAACATATGTAACTAAGTACATAGATACAACTACTACCGCCTAGTTAAAATTCATCAAAATATCTTTATATTAAGAAACAATTTGATGTTAGTAGATTTTCTAAACATATGAACTAGTTTTGATGTTAAATACACATTAATAGGACCTCAATCAATCCACGAAATTGCGCGACCAACTTCTATTGTACCGAGGTAGATACCTGTCTCTACCTGATATGGATTAGCTCCACTAGCCACAACTTCTCACTAGAACTCTAGAAATTACCTCTAGGTTTTTCACGGTGGTCTAGATTCAATTGACTCATGATCTTAACTATAAAATTACTAAAATCTTCACAAAAACCCCCTTGTGACACATTAATAGACTTATTACTACCATGGTAATCCAACTGCTTTTGTGTGCTTTTCCTTAGTCATTAGTTTTATTTTGGTTAATATTTAGTTTTGTATAATATTACTCTCCCATTACGGTTTATTGAAGTCTTAGCCATATGAAAATTCAAACCCCCATGTGTATTCAAAAACAGATTGTTCTCTCCTTAAACCTACCCTAGTAATATTAGCTTATTACCCAGAGTGATTAGGTGTCAAATGGTTTCTACGTTATTTTTATCATTATTACCCTTGTCTCCTCCTACCCCCCATTTCCAGTCTAATTGACCTTTTATTTTTATATATAAATGTTCTCAACAAGTATATGTGTGATCAGATTGTTCGAAATGTATTGCGCTAATATCTCATCACATAGTTCTGATAATCTTCGTCATCTTATTTACGCTATTGAAATTTATGAAAGGGACTAACTGCTTTTCATTACGTAATTGTTAAACCACCTTTTCACTGACACATTTCCGTTAAATTGTTTGTCTTAAATTATATAAACTCTCCTGTAAGGACGGCCCGTCGGTAGACTCTAGAGAACCCTAAGAAGCCCAGGAAGAGCCGCAGACATTCCATCCAATCAGGGCTAGGGGAATGTTCTAGAAATGCCAACGTGGAGCTTCTCCATTGGATGGATTAGTTTGATACCTATGTGCTTATTGGTTGACCTAAATGATAATTTATTTTCAGCCAATAACTATAAATACACGAGATTTCTGTGCTATATTTTGACACTGTTCGGGACAATAAACTTCCTGCTTACCAGTCTTTGTCTTCTCTCTTTTTGCGACGTTGCGGGTTCTATCGTTCAAGTAGTCAAGTAGTTCGTGGCATATTAAGAATCAAGGCTCTAGATATAACATCTCCAAATTCTATTCACCCATCCTATTTGTTTTTAATTGCATGAATCCTTCATTACCTTTAAAATTATCACACAATTTATCTTAACTGTCTCTAAAACTCCACTCAACGATTACAACACACACCCTTTATGTTTCCTTGTTTATAACACCTAATAACCTTTGACCTTTTTTTGCACATCTATATATATATATATATATACATATAGTTGTCATTCCAATCCTGTACATTCACTTATGTCAATTGTTGATTGTAAGCAGTTGACGACAAACCATGAAATATAATGAATTCATATTATTCTACATCAATATTTGTTCTATCTTTATATAAATTCATAAAGGGAACTAATTGCATGAAAACGTTTTTGATTGTTAATTCTATGAACTGAGAATGGTAAGTCTCTTTCAGTGAAATTTCATTTTAAGACGTGAATGGTTTACTTAGGTAGCTTTCATTATTCTTCTCAACAAATTCATCAAGACAAAATTTAAGTATAAATCATAACTTCGCATTTCTTTTAAGTATAACTGACGTCATATCCTGTTAACGTTAATCTTGATTAGTTAGTGATATTCTTTAACCTATGGTTGGGTACGTATTTTGTAGTGTCAGTTAATAATGTTAATTATAGAAGGGGTTTTGTGGAGATTTAGTATTTATCATCGTTGAAAGCGTGAGTCAGTTGAAGCTAGACCACCATGGAAAACCTGGAAACACTGGACGGCCGTTTCGTCCTATTATGAGACTCCTCAGCAGTGCGCATCCACGAACCTGCTCTCGCGAGCGAGATTCGAACCCAGGACCTACCAGTCTCGAGCCGAAGCTCTTAACCGATAGACCACTGAGCTGGCATCCAACGGTGTTAATGTCTAACTTTAACTGATCCATGAAGTTGAGCAACCATTCACCAATTGTCTTCAGTGAGTTCCTATCTCACAACAGACGTAGTTTTGAACTCCACTGGTCACTGCTTCTCACTAGAGCTCCTAGATATACTTCTCGAAGTCACTAGTGAGGTTTTCCATGGTGGCCTAGCTTCAATTGACTCACGCTTTCAACGATGATAAATACTAAATCTCCACAAAACCCCTTCTATAATTAATATAATCATATGCTCACTAGTGACTTCGAGAAGTATATCTAGGAACTCTAGTGAGAAGCAGTGACCAGTGGAGTTCAAAACCACGTCTGTTGTGAGATAGGAACTCACTGAAGAGAATTACTGAATGGTTGCTCAACTTTGTGGATCAGTTGAAGTAAGACATTAACACCATTGGATGCCAGCTCAGTGATTTATCGGTTAAGGGCTCCGGCTCGAGACTGGTAGGCCCTGGGTTCGAATCTCGCGAGAGCAGGTTTCATGGATGCGCACTGCCGAGTAGTCCCATAATAGGACGAAACGACCGTCCAGTGTTCCCAGGTTTTCCGTGGTGGTCTAGCTTCAATTGACTCACGCTTTCAACGATAATAATGTTAAGCTCATATACACTTATTCTAGCTTCTAGATGAAGCAATTCATTTTGAGTCCCGTTTTGAATTTTGTTAATTATTCCACTTGATAACCCTGACTATTATTATTTATATGAGCGTATGTACGTGTACACTTCTTATCCTATTCCAAAGCAACATAGAGAATTTGTAAAATGAAAATATTTACAGTCTAGATTTTAGTTTAAACTTTAGAGAATAATTGATTTCATAGTTTTTCACAAGGGGAGTTTTGTAGAGATTCGAGTAATGTTTTATATCGTTGAGATCATGAGTCAATTGAAGCTAGACCATTATGGAAAACCTGGAAGCACTGGACGGCCATTTCGTCCTATTGTGGGACTACTTAGCAGTGCACATCCACGATCCCGCTTATCCTAATATTTTCATAGTTCTTTTAGGCTGAATTTATGTCTGGGAGCAATAAATTTATCAAT